CCGTGCGTGCCGCACAGCCCAGACCCATGTGACAAGCACCAGGGCCAGTCCCGCGGCCTCGAAGCCCACACCAGCCAGGCCTCGTCGGCTCCCCTGCTCCGGGCGGCAGATACCTGTCAGGGGATTTGCCTGGGCAACACTCCCTAGACTCTGTGCCTGCCTCTGAGATGTTGACCCTCCTTCCTGGGTTCCTGGGCAGCAGCCGGGCGGGCTGGGGGGCTCACAGTCACCCCTGTTTCCTGGCCCTGAGTTGTCTGGAGGCCTTGGGCCCTCAGGTTGTGCCCGCTGTGTGTGACAGGTGGACAGGCCCCTCAGAAGGGCAGGGTCTGGGGCAGGCTCCTGCCACATGGCACCGTTTGCTAGCCACTGGTCAGCATGCATCTGTTGAGGGGGGGCAGGACCCACAGTGACTGGTCCCTGCATCCACCCCACTCCCCGAGGAACACCGTATGGAGGTGCGAGAGTTGGGAGGCCCAAGGATTCTGGGACAGCTTCTTTTTAAAAACCATTTTATTTATTTATTTTTGGCCAGGGTGGGTCTTTGTTGCTGCTCGGGCTTTTCTCCAGTTGTGACTGAGTGGGGGCTGCTCTCCAGCTGCGGGGCGTGGGCTTCTCTTCGTGGGGGCTTCTCTCGGGGCGCACAGGCTCTAGGGCACCCGGGCGTCAGTGGTTGCCGCACACGGGTTCAATAGCTGCAGCCCATGGGCTCAGTGGTTGTGGCGTTGGGGCCTTCCGGATGGCTCAGCGGTACAGAACCCGCCGGCCAGAGCAGATCAGGAGACACAGCTTCCATCCCTGGGTGGGGAAGACCCCTGGAGGAGGAAATGGCAGCCCACTCCAGTACTCTCGCCTGGAGAATCCCATGGACAGAGGAGCCTGGCGGGCTACGGTCCAGAGGGTTGCAAAGAGTTGCAAAGAATCGGACATGACTGAAGCGACTCAGCACGCATGCATGGACTTGGTTGCCCTGTGACATGTGGGATGTTCCCAGACCAGGAATCAAACCCATGTCTCCTACAGGGTCAAGTGGGTTCTTTACCACTGAGCCACCGGGGAAGTCCTAGGACAGCTTCTTGGAGCGGGTGAGGCCAGTGAGGGAGGAGTCATTTCAGCAGAGCAGGGAACTGACCCACTGCAGACGGCCTGGGACGCAGGGCACAAGGGGGCGTCCCCGGGGGGGCCCCGGCCAGCCCACTCCCAGCACAGACAGGCCTGGGTGACCGTGGATCCCTGCGTGGGGAGTGAGCGCAGGCAGACAAGCCAACTGGAGACCCAGCCTACCCCTTCCCTTCTGGGCGCTGGCTGGAGTCCCGCTTGGGGAAGAGTATCGGGGAGCAGGCAGAGCCCCGGGCGCACACACATGGGGCTGCCAGCCTGGATGCAGCCCGTCGTGGTGGAGGCATGCCACGTCACCACCGAAACCACGTCCAGAGAAACGCTCGAACCTCTGGAAATGTTTTGGGTTGGTTTCAAGAGGAAAAGGTGGACAGGACTACAGGAATCTGTCGGTAGAGGTAACGAAGCCCAGGGCGCAGGCACGGGCCCTCGGTGGGCCTGTTGGTCGAGGCCTGGCTGTGGTGAGGCAGGAGGCTGGGCACGTCTCAGGCGCCCAGGCCCTCTCTTCCCAAGCGGGTCAGACACATTTTACGATTAAGTTCAAAAGCTGGACGAGCGCTGCCCCTGGGGTTCTGGAAGCGACCCCCGGCTGTCCTGGTGGGCACGGCCCCCGCCCCCCACTCTCACCCCTCCTCCCCACATCCCGTCCCCTCTGCCGCAGGACCACCGTCACCCACACCAAGCTGCCCAGCTGCCCCCATGCTGTGAGCAACTCACGAGGCCAGGGCGGGCAGCAGCCCTGTTGTGGTCACAGACAGCCCACCCCGGGCTTCCGGAACCCATCTGCCTGCTGAGGAGCAAGGCGGGGGCCTGGCCAACCCAGAACCAGTCTCCTCAGGACGTCCAGGGAAATCAGGAGCGCCCCACACCCTCTGGGCACATCCGAAGCGTCAAGACCGACCTCTGCAGGAGGGAGAGGGGCTGGGGCCCCAGGACCAGGAGTCTTGGTCTGGTGGTACCTTAGAATGGGGCGGGGGGAGCTTTAAACAGGCCCCACCCAGCAAGCCAAATCATGCCGGACTCCCTGGAGGAGGCTGGGGTGTTTCTTTGGGGGGCAGGAATGGGCTCCCCAGCAGACCTCCCCAGCCCATCCTGGTGATGGTACCCCTGCATCTCTGGGGACAGAAGAGGGGGAGCAGACCAGCTCAGCCTGGGGTGCGGGTGCTGAGGGCCTTCTCCCCTTTGGGCCCAGCAAGCTGGACCTCGGAGAAGAGAGTGGTCACAAGACACTGACCCCTCTGTGAGCCAGGCCTGCAGCCTCACCCCCACTGGTCCCAGGTTCCCCAGGTGGCCTGTGCAGGGACCGCCCAGCGAACCTGGCCACAGTGCCCACCACAAGCAGGTAGGAAGCCCCAGGTGATGTTCCATTGCTGTACCCCACTGGATTCAGGGCTGGCCACCCCAGGCCCCACTCTCCCACTGGGCTTTGGACAGGGCCCGCACCCCAAATTCCCTACCTCTCCCTAACACCCCCAACCAGGGCTGCCCCTAGACTGCTTGTCCTGTAAGAGGAGGTCTCCAGGGTCTGGGCCGTCAGGACCCCCAGTTCTGGCCGCCTCAAACCCCTTGGCCTGGGAAGGTTGTTAAAGAGAGATAAGAAGGGGTCTAATTTGTGATTGGAAAAGCTTGGTATCCACTTGCCAAGGCTTGGCCGAGCCCCTTCCCAGGCCTGGAGGGGAGGGAGGCCCGGCCCGGCCCCTGACCTTGGCCTCACATGAGCCCCTCCCCAGGCCCAGGCACTTCTGGTTTTGCCAGGGTCTCCCGGGGGCCCCAGTCGCCCACAAGATACCCCAGGAAGCGGGTGGCTGGCATGGGGGTTAGAAGCTTGGGAGGCCCCTTTATCTGTACCACTGGCTAATGAGAGTACCTGGCCCCTGGGCAGAGGCCCAGTGTAGGCCTGGCACGGCCAGCAGACTCAGGTGAGACTCCCCGGTCCTAAGTCCCTCCTCCAAGACCACTTCCTCGGTGGAAGGCTGAGGACTTGCCCCCAAGCCAGGGCTGGGTGGGCCTTTGCTTTTGGTCTGGGGCCTGTGGGCAGAGATGCTGGCCCCGATGGGAGGGCACACAGGCAGTGGCCCCAGAGGAGCGCCCGCCCTGAAGCCCTCCTCCGTCCATCCCTGGGGGAGGACGGGCTGTGGTGTGTACAGCCCTGAGACTGTGAGCTGGTTGGGGAGGCAGGGGAGGGACTTCGCAGCTCCCCTCTTTCCTGCTACGGAAAATCTGCCCCTCCAGGCCGCCCGGCTGCTGTCATATAAACATCTCTGCTGCCTCCAGGCGACTCCTCTCCCGGGCACCGACCCCGAGAGAAGTTACCCCAGGCTCTGAGAAGTGCCATGCCGCCAGCTTCCTGGAGGAGGCAGGCCAGGGAGGCTCCAGCAGCAGCTGGACAAGCTGTCCCTCCTGGGGCTCACAACTGCTTCCCAGCTGCCCCCAGGTGCCCTGCAACAGGTGCACCAAGGAGGGTGGGCTGCTGCATCCTGCCCGCCAGCAGGCAAATCCCACTCTGCCCACCTCTCTGAGCCTCCCTGGCAAGGGCGGCTTCTCGGCCAGCCTCTGGGATTTCTGCAGTCCTGAGGGTTCTCCTGCCAAGGCACCCATGCCGGCTCACTACCCTGTGTTGAGAGGGGGTGCTGTTCTGTACCCAGTGCGAGGCAGTAAACCGGCTCAGTAAGGACTATGGCAGGCATTTTGGACGCCCAGCACTTAACCCGGGCTGGCACAGGATGCCCAAATCTGGCGTTGCAGTGCAGAAATAAGTCACCCGGAAGGAGCACGGGGGAGGGGTCCAGGGCTGCCCAACCCACAGCGTGCTTCGCGGGCCACCTTAGGCTGGAGGTGCGGGAGAAGGGGTAGGACGGTGACCAAGGCGCGTCTGGAGGCGGTCCCTCCTGGGGGAACTGGAGCGCAATCTTTCTGGCCAGGCGCTGGCCCCAGGCTATTTCCTTGGGGGTACCCAGGGTCCATTTGGCAGAAGCTGCAGCCGCGGTACCACCATCCTTCAGGGTCAACTGCCCCGGTCTTCACAGCCACGGAGGTGGGGGCGGGTCTGGGCTGGATCTTTCAGAAGTTTTAAGTTGCGACCACGGGTGCTCCTAGGATTGGAGCCCCGGGCCGGGGGTACACGCAGGGCTGCCGATGGCGCGACTTCTCCCAGAGCCTGTGTCCCAGAGACCCCCACACTCGCCTGCCCAGCCCAGCTCCTCTCGGGGACAGGCCTGTCCCAGGCGCCCCTTTCCTCGCTCGGCCTGCGCCTCCTCCGCTATTGAGATGCAAATCGTTGCCAATTGTCGCAGAGCGCAGCGGGAGCCCACAGCCGGATCCTTCCGCAACCCCGGAGCAAACTTTGGGTCTCCGAAAACTTTCGAACGAGAAATAGTCCCTTAGGGCATGGGCCCCGACCCCGCTCCGCACGGCCGCGGCCCCCATCCCCGAAGGACCCGGGCTCGGGACCCCGCGCCCCATGCCGAGGAGGCGTGGGACTGGTCGAGGAGAGCGGAGGGGCGCGGCCAGCGAGGGGGCGCGGGTGCGGAGGGATCGGGGGGGGGGGGCGGGCGGGCGGGCCTCGAGGACGGGGGCGGGGCCGGCGGGGCGGGGGCGGAGCGCGCGGCGGCCCGGCGCCTCACTAGTGCCTCGGCCGCGGGAGGGAGCGCACGGGCTCGGGGACCGGGGCGCGGGTCGCGGGCGCAGCGTAGGAACGATCGCGGGCGCGGAACCAGGCCGGAGAGGCCGCAAGAGCCCAGGGACGCCCTCCAGCCGGAAGGAGAGGGCAGTAGCGGGCTGTCACCGCCCGTGGGACAGTCCTCCTGCGCGCGCGTGTGCCCGAGCCCCCTCCCGCCGGGCGCAGGAGGCCGCCCCCGGGGGCAGCGGGCAGCCGGTGGGCAGGCATGCCGCCGCTCCTGGCGCCCCTGCTCTGCCTGGCGCTGCTGCCCGCGCTTGCCGCACGAGGTAGGCGACTGCCCGCCGCGAGCCCGCAACTTTCCGCGCCTTCGGAAACTTTTGGCGGCGCCCTAGGCGCGCGTCCCCGAGTGCCTGAGAGCGGGTGGCCAGGGTGGGGAGGGGGACCGGGCGACCCGGGGCGGGGTAGGAGCCAGAGTCCCGGGCTCGGGGAGAAGGACTGACCCTCCCCCGCTCCGCCTGCCCGATCGGGACGGACTTGGCGCCGCTCGCGCCTGGAACCGAGTTTGGCGCCGGGTTTGAAGTCGGGTTTTGAAGCCGGGCGTGGGCATCTGGGGGCATGGAAGACCTAGCTCTGGACTCGCCCTTCACCAGCCGCGCGTGGGGCTCGCTCCTGGGGCGGGCGGACGAGCTGCCTACTACTTTTCGATTTGAATCGAGTCGGTTTTGGTTTCCTGTTGCTTTGGGGCCATTTATCTTTTTTCTTCGCCTCTTACCCGCCCCGGGGGCGGATGTTGGGGCGCGGAGCTTGGGGTCCAGGGCGCCGCGATCGTCTTTACAGAACCGCACTGCGGGACCTGGCTGCCCAGCATGGTGGGCAGAGGGGAGCGGGTGGGCCAGGCGGCCCGGCCTCCTTTCGGAGTAGGAGAGTTCGTACGGGACCCGGGCGAGGGTCCCAGACCCAGGTGTCCCCGGGCTACTAGCCTCCCCGCCCGCGGTGTCCCCTCCCCACACCGGGTTGCTACCCCCATCCTGGCTCACAGTTTGGGGTGGGGTGGGGGTCGTAAGTGCCGAAGAATCAGCTGCTACTGATGGACTTTCACTTTGTGGAGTTCAAGTTCGGAGACCTTCAGCGGGTGGGGGGCGGTTATTCCTCTCCCACGGCGAGGAGCTCCGAGGAATCGGATGCTGATTAATGCTTCTCTTCCCCTAAAGTTAGAGGGAGAACTAGTTCCCTGCTACCTGAAGATGGGGTTCCATGTCACACCCCGTCCCCACCCCGAGAAGGGGCTTAATTTACACAGCCCTGGTAAGAAGGAGGGGGGTGTGTGGATTAATTGGTCCCTTCCTGGGAATGAGGTCAAATTCCTTCCAAATGGAGCATCTTCATCCCCCCCAGCCCCTGGCTGTGTGTGGGGGGGAGGCTGCCACTGAAGATGCCCACCCTGGGGAACCGGTGTTGGGTGTCGGTGGAGGCGTGGTCAGGTCCCTGGGGTGCAGTCCTGGTGCCCCAGGAGGCGGCCCTGGCGCGACAATGGGCTGCTCTGATTCCTCCGTCCGGCGCTTTGTTGGCGGGCGGGGCAGCGGCCCTTGCAGCTGTCGCATTTTCCCACGAGCGGGGGAGCTGAGTGTGGCCAGCACCGCCCCCCACCCCCAGCGCCACCCCCTGGAAGAACTTGTTTGAACAGCAAGACAATCCTGGTGGTTGGATAGGGGCCCCAGCCCAGCCAAGTTCCTGAGTGAAGCTGGGGTGAGGGGTGAGAAGTTTGGGAGACTGGCCCAGGGTCATCCCAGCCTTTCTTCCCTGATGTCTACACTGCATTTCAGGCCACTTCTTCCCACCACCTGCCCCCACACACTTTGAGCATGACCTGTCCACCTGCCACCCAACCAGTCCATTCCTCCTCGCCTCCTCTCTGACCCCAGCACTCTGGGAGGAATGTTGAGTTCCCTCAGGGTTCATGCAGGGCTTCCTGGGGGCCCCCTGCACCCAGTAACCCCGTGACAGGAGGTGAGGGATGGGCAGTGCCCCTGGGGGTGCTGGCAGGGCTGACCTCTCCTCTTGCCCCTCTCCAGGCCTGCGCTGCTCCCAGCCTGGTGAGACCTGCTTGAACGGCGGGAAGTGTGAAGTGTTCCCCAACGGCACCGAGGCCTGCATGTGAGTATGGGCCCCCGTGCCCCTGCGGGGACCTGTTGCTTTGTCGGGAGCGGAGCCCCTGCCTTCTGCAGCGGGCCAGTGGGGACAGAACACTAGGCCATTGTCTTCTGGAGATGGCCCAGAAGGCTGGGCGCGGTCACGTGCTAGTTTTATTGGACAAAGTCTGGCAATTACTTAATCACCAGCAATTATGCTGCGTGTGGAGCTGGCCTGGCTGCTGGGGGTTCGAGCGCTCCTTTGAGGACCACCTCGGGCTCCTGGGGTGCTAGGTGGGCATCCCCGCTACCCCATTTCTTCCCAAAGTCCCTGAGACCTGCAGGGAGGCTCCAGAGCATCTGGAGGGAGGCCCGGCCCTCCCCACTCCGCCAGCCAGGGGGGAGTGCCTCTGCTGGGGGCAGGTGAGGCTTGCTCCAGGCAGGTGAGCGCCTCCCGGACAGGCGGTGCCTCTCAGCGAGAAACTGACTAGTTCAAAGGCAAACCCACCCTTTGCCGCCCTCTGCCTTCCCTGGCCTCTGGCGAGGTTGGGGAAAGGAGGTTGGAACTCATCGTGGTCGCCGTGCCAATCTCCGTGGGGGTGTGGGTGGGAGTTCCTGCCAGGAGCTCTGTCTCTATCCCCAGCTCTGACCTCCTGACCGGGTGGTCCTTCGCTTTCCCAGCCCTGGGTCCTCAGCTGTGAACTGGGGCGGGGGCGTCCGCAGTCGGGGAACCTGGTTAGGATCTATCTCCTGCCTGCTTGCCTGCAAGTACCAGTCAGCCTCTTGGAAAGTTTTTCTGCTGTGGCCGATGCCCTTCAACTTGAGTTCGTCCCTGATGGGAATACCGAGCAGGTTCCTGGCGGCTGGAGAAACGCGCCCTCCCCAGGCTGCAGAAGTGGGTCCCCAGCAGGGCTGGCGCGCCCTCATTCCAACTGCTGAGGGCCCATTCCCTTGACAACCCCCAGGCCGGGCTCACTGCCGGCCTCGCCAGTGGGCAAGCAGCCCCTTCCCCCCCACCCCGCCCCAGACTGAAGCCAATTAAGCAGGTCTGTGAGCAGTTTCATGGACAAAGCGCATTGTGTCTTTCTCAGACGCTAATGAATGCGCACTACTTTTTTTTTTTTTTTGCTTTTTTGGGGCCTTTTTCTCGTCCTGCAGAAGCCTCACCGACGCTTGATGCCCTAAATCTTGTTTCCTTTCATTGAGAGACCGACAGCTGGGATTCAGTGGAAGTGCAGGGGCTATTGTTGGGGAGGCGGATTAATGCTGGGTGATTAAGTATGCGTGGCTTCCCAGAATGCCCACTCCCTTCCCTGCCTCTCCGCTCACTGGGCTGTGTGTGCCTGTGGGGCTGGGGGCAGTCTCCAAATTTCTGCAGAGGGGTCTGGGGAGGGCAGGGGCAGTGCTGGGCTGGGGAAAGTAGGGGCCGTCTCTTCTTGTGCCATCACTGGGGAATTGGCACGGGGCAGCCTGGGGCCCCCCCAGGGGCCAGCCTGGGGCCCCCCAGCGCTCCAGCCACTCGCTGCCCTGGCTGCTGCAGCTCTCACCCACTGGCCTCTGGGTGAGGCGCTTCGAAGGCACGGGGCTGGGGGAGGCTCTCCCACCCCCAAACCTGGGCAACTTTGGGAGTTCCTGCCTCCCCAAGCCAGGCCCCAGCTCAGGGCTAGGGTGCCGGCCTTTTTCTTCCCTGTGGCCTGCTGATCCCCCCCCACCACCACCTTGGCGGGAAGCCTGCCTGTCTGGCCTGGCACCCCGCCTAGCTTGGCCCACAGAGACCCCATTGTGCGCACCCTGCAGACCCACTGGGAAGTTGAACGGAAGCGCCATCCTTGCAGGCCCCGCCTCTGGGCACCTTGGGCTGGAGGCGAGGAATCAGCCATGACGGCTGGCCAGGCCCAGCCGTGGGGAGGCCCCAGTCCAGGCTCGCGGGGCACGGTGGGAGTTCTGCGACCACCCCCAGTCTCGCTGTCACCCACCACCCGCTGGTCTGCAGAGGTTCCGCCGGTGGGGGCAGCCCGGCTGTCTGGGCTGAAGGGGAGAGCCGCTTTCTTCCCTCCGAGGTGTCTGGGTCTCAGGCCGACCTGGCTGTGAACTCGGGCTCTGCAGTCTCCAGCCCGGACCCGCAGAAAGTTCTGTGACTTTTCTGTTGCTTCCCCTGTGGCCAGGGCGTGGGAATCAGTGCCGTCATGTGCCAGGCGCATTCATGCCAGGTGACTCATCTGTTTCCACCCAGAGAGAGAACCTTCCCCAGAAGCCACCCGTCAGGTGTCTGCGGGGCTCGGGGTCGGAAAAAGAGGTTCGTGTTGTTGCGAAGGCCCTTCAGGAAGTCCCAGAGGTCCGGGCAGGGCCGCCCAGTGGCCGTGTGTCGCTGGGGGCGGAGCTTTCTGCCCGGAGGAGGGTGGCTGTGTGTGCTGGCCCTGGGGGCTGCCTGGGGACGCTCGTGACCCAGGGGTGGGCTCAGGCGGGTCTTTGCAACCCTCTGCCGCCTCGGCGCCCAGAGCACGCCAGAGGGGAAGTTGGGCAGGTGGTGGACCTCAGCTTCGGGCGATCCTGTGTTTGAGGCCTGGCTCTCCCGTGCCCAGGGTCCTCGTGACCTCAGGTCATCGGGATGCCTGAACCCAGATTTCCCCAGTCTGTAATTCGGCCTTGATCCGTGATTGATCTCTTGGTGGCGCATAAAGGTTACGTGAGAGGCACGCAGCCGGCGCGGGGCAAGTGTCCATTCCCTTCCTGCCTTCTCCTTTTGAGCTGACAGCGCTGGTTTCGGGATCCTCGTTCGAGAGGGTTTAGTTATCTAATGAGTGAGTTCAGAGCACCCGAAAGGTACGGCCTGGTGGGCCCGAGCCGGGGCACCGCCTTGGAGGGGCCGGCCAGTGACTCCGAGGACTTCTCACCCGCGGTGGCACCCGTGAACGCCCTCCTTGCTTCCTTCCCAATTCTGAGCACCTGTTGCATGCTGGGTTCTGCTCTGGTCGTGGGCATGTGGGCCCAGGTCCAACGCAGCCCCTGCCCCCATAGTCTCTCTGCTTTCCAGTGTGGGGTTTAGGAGAGGCAGCATAAACACGTGACACATCAGAGGGAGGGGAGCACAGTGGGCAGGGTGGCCCGGCCCCACGTGGCTGGCAGGAACCCCAGAGCCACGGGCATCGGGTGTGTAGCAGGGCCCAGAGACGTCAGCGCTGGGCCCAGCGTCACACAGCCCGGCGTAGCACCCAGCCCCGCCTCGCTCTGTCCAGGGACGTGTGTTCCTAACCGCGGCCGCATCCTGCCTGCACTGCCCCCCGGGGCCCTGGCCGGCCGTCCTGTGAGGAAGCGGGGCGGGGACAACGACTTCCCTTTAGAAGAAGCGGGTCAGGGGCCGAGTGGAAGTGACTCGGCCACCCGGCTGCAGAAGCACGGAACGTCTGTGTCTGTGTCACCTGGCCCGTCTGTTTCCACTGAGTCACCTGCGTGTCTCGGGCGAGGCTGGGGGAGGAACAGGTTAATTCTCATCCTTACCCCCGCCCGCCCCCCCCCCACTCCAGGCTGAGAACGAACCAGGTCTGTACAGGACTTCCTCTGTTCGTCAGCGCCTGGGCGCCAAGGACGCAGGGTTAGAAAAACACAGCAAATGCACAGCATCAGCCCCAAACCCTCACCTGCTGCCTCTGACCACGGGGGGCGGACGTCAGGGGCCCCCCAGGAAGGTGCCCTCCTCGGGCCTGGCCCTGCCTCTACGGCGGCCAGTGTTTTTTCCACTGGAAAAAAAATAATAGGGATTTTTTTTTTTTAAAAAGAGAGAAAAAAAAAAGAAAGCTGTGCCCTTAGCTGGAAGAGGGTGGGGCTGGGCAGACAGCTGAGAGAGGAGAATGCTTTGCGTCAGGACAGCTGAGCTGGGTCAGGGCAGCCAGGGCCACGAGTGAGAGGGCGGGTGCGGGGACCCCCCCCCCGAGGTGGCGGGGGGTGGGGGCAGGTCCAGGGGGTGGCATGGCTCCACTCCCCCGGGGCTGGGAGGCAGCCTAGAGGTCCCGCTGAAGCCGTCGCTGGCTCTGTCCCTCGCTGACCGTGATGCTGATGGGTGGCTGTGGCCATCGCGGGCAGATGGGGCCCCTGCTGGGCTGGGCCTGGCCTGGCCTGGCTGAACCGGGCTGGGCTCAAGGAGGGCACCTTTCCTGTTTCATGTCTCGCCTATAAATAGTGAAAGGATGTGGCTTTGCAGAGTCGATTGAGTATCCTGACTGCTTTCCTCAATAAAGCGCCGACGATCGCCCCACGCACAGACAGCCCCTTTCATCCAGCCTCGTAAAAGCGTGGCAGACGTTTTCTTCGGCAGCCTCACACCCCCTCGGGGTGGCGGCCGGCTCTGCATCTCATCCGCAGTCCCCACTTTACAGGTGGGAACGGCTGAGGCTGAGAGATGAAGAGGCTGGGAACGGGAGTTGGGGACCTGGGGCCAGCTTGCCTTGGCTTCTGCCTTCGTGTCCAGGCACATCTGGGGCCTTGCAGACTCTTCCCAGAGGCGTTAACAAGCGGCTGGCCTCGGGGGCATCGTGACTTGTGGGTCAGGATGTGTTTGATGGGTCCTGAAGTTCTCGGCTGGGCTGTCTCTGGCAGCCCCACCCCGTAGTCCCGTGGGCCGAAGCAGGTACAGAGCGACTGGCTCCTCCTCTGTGCCTGAGAGTGCAGGGTTAGGTGGCTCCCGGAGCTACCTTCCCGCGGCATCCTGGCAGGACCCTGGGATGGGCCTGCAGATGCCCAGGTGGCAGGAGTGGACTGCGGCGTGGGTGGGGGAGGAGGGCCCAGGATCCAGGCCTGGCCGTGCATCAGGGCAGCTTCTGCCCGCCTGGGGCCATCTCTGGGCTTCGGTGTCCTTATCCGCACCCCCGGCCTGCTGGTGGGCTGTGGACACACCCGCCAGGGCGGGGGCCGTGATTGACAGGTGCTGCTGCGGAGGAAGGGCCGGCGGGCAGAGAAGAGCCTTTTGCCAAAGTGGCCTCTGTTGGCTTCTTTCCGGGCATCTCCTTCCTCAAGGCCCCGCCCACCTCG